CCACACGAAACCACATGAAACATCTTCTAGTACCACGCTGCAACGTCTCGAATACCACGAAACCACCGCTGCGGAACCGCTGCAGAAAGCGCGGAGAACCCGTGCCGGAACCACTCCTGAACCCACTCCGGAACCTGCTCCAGAACCCGCTCCGCAACCCGCTCCGGGGAACCTACTCCGGAACCCGCTCCAGAACCCGCTCCGCAACCTGCTCCGCAACCCGCTCCAGAACCCGCTCCGGAACCCGCTCCGGAACCTGCTCCGGAACCCGCTCCGGAACCCGCTCCGGAACCTGCTCCGGAACCCGCTCCGGCCGCTCCGAAACCCGCTGCAGAACCCTGTCCGGAACCCTGTCCGGAACCCGCTCCGGAACCTGCTCCGGAACCTGCTCCGGAACCCGCTCCGGAACTCGCTCCGGAACCTGCTCCGGAACCCGCTCCGGAACCCGCTCCAAAACCCAAGGGCTGAAGACCCCATCGCTTCGCTGTTAGGGAAAAACCTTTCGAGTCACAAGCCGGGTCCTCCCAGGCAGATTTCATCAAGGAGTCGATCCATGTGCCCTCCGTCCCTGGGTCGAAAGGTGCCCGCTCCACTTTATCGAAGTACAGCGGACTACACAGAGCCTACAATGTTGACACACGGAACATTTCTGTTCACAGTCAACTTGCCAAAGGCCTTCCGAGATCTCTCAAAAAAACCTACAGCGAAATCAATTGAAATCAATCGAAAGCCAGCGAAGAAGCCCCGAGTTCGCCGCACGACTCCCAGCCACTGCAACGCGCCAAAGACCCTGACTGCAAATTTTGGACGGCCTTCGCTGATATGTTGGAAAGCGTCGGACAGCTCCTGAGAGGTTTGACCTGCAGTCTCACTTCAGGACAATGGGAGCTCGGCACTCTGTTTGACTGGACTTGCAATGGCTAGAACGTCAAAGTGCGGAAGCAGACATCCAAGCACTTACCAAATGCCAAGTGGCTTGCTAAGAGCTGCCACCGGAAGGACAACTCCCCCAAGGGACAATCGGTGTCCTGGACTTGGGGTATCCAGGAGAATCACTGGTCGTGTCCTTTTTGTTCTTAATGCTCATATTCCACACGGCCTACTCTGGAAAGACTTTCTCGAGAGTCGAAGAGGCTTCAGACAGACCCCTACGAAACGCACAACTCAATCAGTGTTTCAGGGCGCTTTTCTACTCTTATCAGAAACATGACCTCTTACTCTTAACTAGAGAAGACTTTAACCGCCTTGGCACTTGTCATTCTTCATACCAAAGCCTGCCTCCACTATGCCGGTGGGAACTTGCTTTTCCAACAATGCACACTGTCCTGTCGATGCCATTCCTTCACACGCCCCCATAGAGCCACCAGCAAATCAATGTGCACCTTGTGCTTGTGGATGCAGAAATATGTCATCAAATTGCTTCGGCTATCAATTACAAGTAAAGTGGCACTAGGCCCACATCCCGCCGCTTTGGTGCCAAGGGAGACGACACCGAATCCTGAGATGCCGGCCTGTTGCATCATGGCAGACTTGCCCGGATCCCAGCCTGCTTTCGGTGTGCCCACGAGCTAAAGACGAGAATTCTGAAAATGGAAGGGGTGGACACCAGTACTGCCGCACCGGCAAAGCACCAACCAACTTGATCCAAAACAGAAGCATCCCGCAGGTTATGTGCCATGAACGTTGTACAATGAATAATACATCCGATTGGGTATTGGTTTGCGACCACTTCTAAGCCAGGAAATCCATGCCTGCGATCACCTGCATCTGCTTCTTCAGTTTTGGCCAATCCACCACACCAGTGGCAAGCCTTCTCCGGACGAAAATCGAAATCAAAAGCATTGTTTTGGCTGACACGTCGCCCTAAACACCCGCAGACTCAGATTCCCTAAACACTGCCCACTGCTCCAAGAGGCTCGCACGGCCACCAGTCCTGCTCCAGTCTGCTTGGCTCCGTGAGCTGCTTAGGTTCAGCTTCGCTTCTGTTGACCCTCACTGGGAGCAAAAACACACTCAAAGGCGAATGGCGAAATCTCACACAGATCACCTCGGGCCTCGGGCGGTCGTGCTCTGGCTCGGACCAGAGCAACGAGGATGAATCGAACACTGCGCTTCATGGGATGTGTCATGTGTTCCTCTCATCTCCTTTCATGTCCCAGTCCTAGCTTACGAAGGCTGGATGGCTAGACTTCTGCACTGTCCGATGCTGTCGCAAACCAACCTTTCGTCTGTTGTTTCTTGGAGGTTGTATACACAGCAATCCTGAACAGCATAACCGCACGCAAGCTCAGGGTACATGCTCCGGCCTAGCCGAGGTCTGCCGAAGGTTAACGTGCCGAAGCGGCGAGCTACGATCAACACGGATCGACCTGCTGTGTTTGCATGCACGGTTCGAAGAAGACGATCCTGCAATGTCAAGAACGAGAAGAGCTTCTCTACTCAACCACTTGAGGTCTGCACAGGTCGGATCGAAACTTCTGATCTGTACCGATGATCAAGGCAAGGCAGAAAGATTGTGGCAAGCAAGCAGGTCCGGACCTTTTGCCAGAAACGCGTAGGAACATCTCTTGGACCTACTGGACAGACCGAATTCAGCTTCCTCATGTGGTTCCACATTGGAAGCAAGGAAGCAAGGATACAGCTTGAAACATGCAAGGCGTTCGGCGACATCAACAAGGACTAGGACCCGGTATGTCTTGCCTCGGCGGCCTTAGGCAGCGCAGATGTGGATCCAGGTGGATCCTGAAGGACTGAAGATCCTGTGCTGCTTGCCGTGGTCCTGGCTTGGATTTGAAGCATCTCCACACAACACCACGTCCTGCACAAAAGAACGTCCCCCGAGACATTGCCCGGACGGGAACGCCAGGACGAAGGAATCACTTGTCAAAGGACGGCTACTTGGGTAGTTGCCTCTAGCTGGGAGGATTCCCGATGAGACCTACAACATGAAGAAAGCAGCCTAAGCTCTTTATGATCCTTCCCAGGGTGGCCGACCAACAGCTCTCAGCAGCCTCACTGCCAACTCAACACACGCAGCGTAACGTTCTCCTCGGTTGTTCAATAAATCAGCAACAAAATCAAAACAGAGCAGCAGCCCCGGCGCTCTGAGAACACAACTCAGGCCGACCCCGCACTTGAACAATCATGCGCATGCTTCCATCTTCATGCCTTGGCCTTCACACCTGCGTCCAAACAAAGGTTTTGCGCATCCTCTGGATGAATCTCATTCTGAGTTTCGTCTTGTGACCTCGCAAGCTCCGGTATCCTATCCTGGATTCCTTGCAGGGTCAACCAAGCAGCTGGACAGCGGCTGTAAAGACACTAATTACACAGGACCTGTACTGGCCAGCTACCCGTAGGAAGTCTCTGAACGTCACAGCGTCACAGCCTGCCTGATCTGCATCCGTTGACTTCCAGAATTCGGTCCTGGGCTGTCAGTCTTGGATTCGTGCCTTCTTTAAGCCACAGAAAAACTGGGAATCCTGCTCCGGGGCCTACAGACGAAGAAGGGTGCGCCTTGTTCCACTCCTTCACAGGGCCTTCGTTCACCTCCCAATAGCCATGGCAGCATGCTGACATGCTGCCAAGGGTAGACAATGTTTCTTCCACAACGCACGCTTCAAGCTGACGATTCTGGAGCTGAGCCACCATCTCCCTAGAGACCGATCTGTCTCGGTCATTCCCTGGCTTGGCGCTGTCTCTGGCAGAACCAGCCTGTTTCACGATGAGCCCAACCTGAGCACTGCTGAAACAAGAAAGCAAGTTGGGCCGACATCCTGAATCTAGGCTACATCTCAAGCACGAGGGACGCTGGAGTCAGCGTATGCAAGGTGAAGACCAAGGGGCCTGTCGGGGGGGCAGCACGTCTTTTGTTTGTATCTACTTGTGGATTGTGGAGCCGTCACAACATGACCTTTTACATGCAGCTCGTGCCAGTGAGGATGATGGGCGGATGTACAGGCGAATCACCTCATCGACACCGAACTGAGGCCGGCCTCCCTCCCTTGCCAGCCGCCACAGTGATCTCCTGTTGTAAGCAGGGAACGACGAATGCTACAGCATTGGACACTATGCTGGCTGCCCCACGCTGTCGTCGGCAGGTTACAGAACATCATGCTGTTTCCGACGATACCCCGCAGCTGACACATAGGTCACCTTCTGCCTAGTGAACCTCTGTACTCGCTTGCAACTCGGACAGACGTGTTCTATGACAATGAGTGCTTCCCAACCTGTGGCCTCTCCACATCCAGATCCACCTGACAAATCAGGACAACCAGCTCGTGACGGAGGAGACATCTCTAGCCACCCCTAGCCACCCCTAGCCCGTGACTAGATGCCATCAGATACGTGCATGCGCGCATATGTATTGCCCGCCTTGCCTTGTCCGCCTTGCGGATGGACTCGAAAACTGCCTTGGACGAGCCTTTCACTCCGTTGGCAGCAGCAATGCAATCTCCAACCTTTGGGGACAGTGCTCGGTGCATTGCAGGCGTCAAGATCCGGGCAGTTATTGAAGCTCGAAGACTCGCACCCACTGGGACAAACGCCTGCAAAGCCTTGTCCGGATGTCCCTTGTTCCACTCAGCGGCAGCGCCCCCCGTCACGTTGAAGACGAGACACCTGTCCTGCAAATGCGCGGGCAGGTCTGTAGCGCCTACGAAACCGCAGCCTGGGACCTTGAAACCGGCTCCAGTTCCAGGTAGTTCCTGAGCGAGGGAAGCAGCAGTCGCAGATGGCCCGCACGCCCCGACACGCAGACAGCTGAAACGGCTCACGCACAATTGATGCTGAGCAGCTGCATCCTCATAGTCCAAGCACAATCCAAAAGATCCTTCGCCTCGGCACGCCAGAAGGGTAATCTTGCACGCAAGGAGATGTGTCACCCGGTAACGTTGTGCCACACCAGTCAACGAACGTAATTTCACTGATCAATCGCGAACTCAAGCGATGTGCCCTTTAGGAGTCACACTTTTATCCAGGGTCGCTCGAAACTTTGTCAGCAGATTCGGAAGCTCCTTCTGCATCACCTGAAAGCCAAACAAACAAACAAACAAACAAACAAACAAAGTAGCATGGAGGCCAGGCCACTTCAACATCGAGATCTGAAACGCAGCAAACATGTCAAAACTACTGCCTCGTGTCTTGCAGGACAGGCCTACAACAAATCATCGGTCCGAACGAGACCAACCTGGAAAAGGCAAAAACAGAAGCGGATCAGCTCCTGACCGCTGCAGGCTGCACCAACTCCCTGGGTTGATGCGTCCCGAATGTCACTAAAGCGCAGTCTGCAACTGGGCACAAACTGGAGAAGAAGAATCTGCGTCTGCTTCGTTGCAAGCTCGCATGACCAGCACTGGAGATGTACTTCGGCATCATGCAGTTGGATCTGTCAAATAGGTAACCTACAAGAAACGAACTTCTCGTTTGCAGCCGAAGGACTGTTCGAGGAAGTCGTCCTGGGCGCCGGTCACTGCCTCACTACAGAGTTCAAAGCCCAACAGATTTCAAGTGCTACAGGTTCATAAGCGATCCATGGCATTTCTACCACGTTTCATCTTTCATGAATGCTGTCCAAACTTGCAAAAAGCGCTCCCCCCACTTATCCGCCCACTTCTTCCGCCCAAGCAACTGGGAAGGGTGACGAACCCTGGCAATGCAAACAAGCGATTGTTCCGGACGTTCGACATGGGCAAGTAAACAGTCCAGCAAGATCATGCATTCGCACCTCAGCTTGTCGCGCATCATCTGCCGAGCTGTATGCTTCAGCTTGGGAGGCTCCAGGTCCAATGTCCTGGATCACAAATCAAGATTTGATTGAAAAGTTTTTTTTCCACACATCCTGGGCAGTATCTTGGTTACTCCAGCAACCGTCAATGAACCAAGTAATCGCAATGTTTCGGCTGCCGGTGAACTACTGCGCAAACCGTGCTGGATCCTGTGGATTGTTGCAGCAGCACGCAGACCACATGCGTTCTTAAAATAGGATAATGTACAACACAGCTGCACCTAATCACTGGAGCCTGACAAGACGTGCATCGACACGCACTGCAGCAATTTGAAATCAGACCACGGAACAGCGACCGTGTCCTTGCATCAATTGCAATTCCTTTGTGCAACAGAGAAGATCTGCAACAAGTCACCGAATATGCAAAAAAAAACGTGCAAAGAGCCGGGAAAGATTCAATCCGAAAAAGCGTACAAGGACATTTCCCAACTGGTAGCTCTCAGGAGCCCAAAACGTTTAGTAGTGTTAGGCGGAGGTCGTTCGGCCAACCAACCTAATGTGGCGGCGGGTTTCGTTTTTCTGCTTATTCACTTCGATGCAAACTTTGTTGGGGAGGTCTTTAAGGCATTTTTTGACTGGCTGATGTTTTGTTTCCTTTGCTTCCTGTTTGGTCAGATTGAGCCCACATAAGCCCCAATTGAACCTAACCCCCCCAAACCGAACCCTCCTGACCCCGTCTGCTTCTTAGATTTACGAAACTGCGAAACATTTGATTGCCAACTTCAAAGAGATACATGACTCGTGAAGCAGTCTGGCACCTAGGCCAATATAATTCACCAATCCAATATGCTTCATACGGCCCAATGCGCAATGTTTTTTGCAACGACTTCGGAACGGGGGAAATCAGCTAATCGGCAAAAGCATGCATATCCGACAAACGATGGTCAACGCCCTTCTCGAACCAGGGGCACCACCTCGGACCCGCAAGCCCCTTCTAGACGTCCGAAGTTCAAGAGAGATGAAATCCAGGTGCAGTGGTTCGCCAGCAGGCCCCATTTCAAGTCACGCACCGTGGCGCATCTTAGTGCAGACCTTTCGGCAAGGTCGTCAAGGTTGATGACTGATCCTCCTATCATCGATGCAGCCGCACGGCACTCGCCCCTGCTAGGCAAGTCTTTTTTTCATTCAAACGCTTTAGTCGAGTCGACTATTCAGCGAGCGCTGCGTACTCATATATCTACCTCCGGTGGATACGAGAACGGCCAACTAGGGCACGCCGGACAACTAC